CAGGTTGGGGCGCAGTCTGCAAGGGCTCACCGGCCTCTGGCCACTGGTCAGTTCAAGAGAGCTCCCTACACATAAACTGTCTGGAGATGATCGCGGTCGAGAACGCGCTCGCGTTTTTCTTCCCGCGCATTCGGGGTCTCCACATATTGATCTGCTTGGACAATACGGCTGTAGTCTCCTATCTCAACCGTCAGGGTGGTGTCAGATCCAAGAACCTCTTCCTGCTGACGAAACACATTTTTGTTTGGTCCCAGAGCCACCTGCTCTCGCTAAGAGTGACGCATGTGCCGTGCCATCTTAACGACGGCCCAGACAGACTGTCCAGGAACCCCATCTATCCGGGAGAATGGTCCCTGCACGTTCAAACAGTCCAGAAACTGTGGCAAATATTCGGCAGAGCAGAGGTGAATCTCTTCGCGTCAGAGGAGAATGCTCACTGCCCAATATTTTTCTAAAACAGCGAGGACGAGCTAGCCCAGGAGTGGCCCAGCCACCCGCTTTATGCATTCCCTCCGGTCTCCCTGTTGCCACAGGTCTTACAGAGGATCAGGGAAACACGCCACTTGGTGCTCCTCACAGGCCCGCGTTGGGAGAGTCAGACTTGGTTCCCGGAGCTCGCTCAGCTGTCGCAGACAGCCCCGTAGCCAATTCCAGTCAGAGCAGATCTCTCAAGCTCGCGGCGTGATCTAACTCATACAACCGGCGTGCCGCTTGTTCTTCCCTCGTGCTTATGTACTACACAATCCCGGCCCGCTTGCTGGCCCTTTCATGCTCACGTACATTATTAATTCCCACTTACAAGGGTCCCCCTGAGCGAACCAATGAGCTGCTCGCTAGCCCGCTCATGGTCTGCTGCAGATGAACTACGTTACATTTTTACGATACACGTGATGCTGCCTTAGAATTTGTCAAAAATGAAGTCTTGTAAGTTGGCTTATAAATTCTTATAAAGGTCTTATACATAAATTTGAAACATCTTAGCTTTAAACCATTGCTAATTTTGAAACCATAAACATTGCTATTTTTGAAACAACAAACATGATGGGAAGGTTTTTAGAACCTGCTTGGTGTATCTACGTACGAGAGGTGATCAAAGTCCTCCATGCTGGTTCTGGGTTTCACTATCACTCTGTTTACTTCGTTATGGAGACCATCCAGGAGAAACCGCAAGAACTCCTGAGCATCCTGCTGACTACACGACAGAAAACAGAAGGGGAAAGAAAGTATATTTTTAAGGGCGAGTTTCAGCTAATTCCAAACTACATATTGAAGAAAACAAGTTAAATATGATGTTAGCATAATACAAAATGTTTTACTGTAGCTGTAACTTACTTGTAACCAACGAATCGAGGGGCGTATTTCTGGATCTGCATTTTGAAGTCAGAAGGGCTGATGGCCTCACTGCTAGCAGATGTCCAAAGAGTCTGAGTGAGCTTAGCAAACTCTGAAAACAGAAAAACACACATACTGTAGGAAGACATTTGACTAAGACACAGGACCCAAGGCTTCCTTTGTCTGCATGATATGAATGCTCTACTATATGAACTGGTAAATGCGTCTCTTACCCTCCATTAGAGCAGCTTTGACCCTGCAGTTGTTGTTAAGGTCAGTACGGTGCGAGTTACGCAGACAGTAGTCCCTCAGGTCATGAGTGTTGCTTAGACATTGCAGTACGGAGTTCATGAAACACTGCAGAGACACATTCAACAGAAGGCCAATTAAATGGTTACTCCGCAAACATAGTCTGCATTTCGATTAAATATTTCAAGTCAAAACAAAACAGAAGTAGCATCAGGGGCCTCATTTATAAAACTTTGCGTAGGATTTGCGTCAGAAGTGGCATACGGATGAAACATAGGACGTGCGTACGCACAGAAATATTCGGATTTATAAAACCGTGCGCACGCACATCCTACGCATTTTTCCCTTAATAAATCACAATCAATTCTAAATGTAGCGCAGCTTTTGCGGCTTCAAGTCACACCCATAGTTGCCCATAAATAGTCCGTGAAATGCCCACAAGTTAATATTCATCAATTGCGAAATCATGTTAAACACAGAGACGAATTTAAAAAAAAAAACGTAACTTCACTCAATGTGAAGTAGAAGTTATCGTTGGCGAGGTGGAAAAGAGGAGAAAAATTTAGTTTGGAGGGCACAGTGTGCATTACTAATGGCAAAAAAGCACTTAAGTGGCAAAAGGTTGCAGACGCAGTAAATGCTATGGCCTCACAACCTCGGACTGTGGCCGAAATAAAAAAGAAATGGTCGGACATCAAAGTCGAGGCAAAAAAGCGTCTAGTCATTAATTCAATTAGAGAGGTGGCCAAGGAGTTGGGCGAAATCAAGACTGTCCTAACTGAAATAAACTGCACAATGAGGGAATTATTGAATAAATAATATATTTTTTCCACAACTTTTGTTGTGAAGATGATGCGTTCACTCCGAATCATTCCATTTAATCGCCACATCTTCTAAGAGCGCAAGATCAGCCACTGTGCGTCATTATACGCATTGTGATGGGGCATTTCATTTACATCCATTTAATTCTGCATCTGACAAGCTAGGCTACGGATGTCGGTTATAATCTAAATGGGAAATGGTTCAGCGCAAATGTAATTTCTTGCAGCTTTGAGACATACGTCATACGTTAGCCTATTTTATCAAAAATAAAACAAACTAAAGGCATATACATGAATACCATGATTCCGTAGTTGATGAAGATATTTTTACGATGAAAACAACTTTCCCCAGTGGATAAATAATACATCTATCTATTTATCGATCTATCTATATATCTCCCTAATTATCTATCTATCTGACTTACTATCTAATTGCTATATCTGCTCCGTTAGACGGACATAGGCCTATTGGCAAGAATATTTCGTACATTATTTCGTTCTGTTTACCATCTTATTTATGAGGATGAATTGTATATGCCAATATTATTGCAGAACATATTTCACTTTCTTTTGGGAAATATGTGTTAATTTGCATTTCTGTTACAGATCGATCAAACGGGTGTTCGTGTAGGCTGTTAATTGTAAGACTTGCTTTGTGAAGTCTTCGTGTTATTTATGAGAGGCAGTATTGCCATTTATTTTACACAACCGTTTACAGTTTCAAACACTTTCACGTGTTTTTTCCAACTGCTGACGGTGTCGCCATTTCTCATTTCACCCGTTTTAAAAAAGCGTACGCCTGGGTCAGAGATTGCGTGAAGGACCGCACATTTTACCGTCAAGTTTGCTTTTTAAAATACCAACTATTGCGTAGAGAGCGGCGTACGCCTTCTTTTGTGCGTACGCAATGTTTATAAATGAGGCCCCTGATCTTTTTTTTTTTATATTTCTGACATACATCCACGTGTAACGGATTATTGAAAAAGATTCAAAATTATGAAGTGATTTTTTAAAATGAAACATATACATGTATGAACTGCATTTGCAAAATAGATTGTGTATACGTCGACTTTAAAGGAACAGTTCACACAAAAACATAGACATATTCAGTTCTTCAAAAGATCTTTTATGTTCCACAGATGGAAGTCATAAAGGCGAGTAAATATTGACAGAATCTTTTTTCTTTCTTTTTACATGAACTATATATGGAACCATACTTACAGTATTTCCTAGATTCCTGAGGCCCACCAGACCCTGAGCATTCTTTGAGTTCTGCAAGAGAAAAACAGCAAAAGGGTTAGTGAGCTTTCTAAGATAACCATTGAATCCAATGACACTAGATTTATAGCAAAACATTGTTAATAAACTGAAATATGACTAAAGCACATGACTCACTCAAGCCACATAATTTGTTTGGCACAGATACTGACAGTGGAGTGAAAGTGCATGTTTAAGAAGAGAATTGTGTCTAATAGAGACTTAAGTGTTATTTTCATTGTATGCATGCCACAAAAAAATCTAATTAAAAGTGTTTCTGAGTGTTTTGTTATGTTTTTTGTTATATCAAATGACATAACAGGATACTGTACTGTATAATGAGTATATATGGCATTATTTTTCAGAATTATTATATAGCTTTGAGGATAAATGTGTGTGAGCTAACCAAAGCGTTCTCTCTGGGTTATTAAATTGCATGTTAGCAAATTTAGACAGGGACCCCTGCTGTTGAAGACTTGACAAAAACAAATTATGCCCATCTGCCACAACACAACAAAAACGACTTTAAGTAATTTATTCGGCGAGGGATGAATCATCACTTTTTGGTCAAATTTACTGTAATGATATATATTTAAATCTTGCAGAGGAAACTGTTTCACCAATCAAAATTCAGACAGCTGGGAATGATGATGATGATGATGATGATGATGATGATGATGATTTCACATAATAATATGATATTCTCGACATAAGTGGTCAGCATGTTGACATGACATAACACGGAACGCTTCAGAGAACATGAGTATGAATCTCACGCAACACACTTCGAATCAGTGACATCAAGGCCTGGAATAGCAGTGCTCATTCTCATGTGCGTCATTCACTGATTGCAGTGTTAACTTTGTGATGTTACAATAATGACTGCAATGCTCGGAAGAACTCATCAAAGTTCCAAATTTGCAAACGTCCCCTCGGACAGGTGATTTTGAAGTCTGTAAGTGTTTGAGAAAGTGTGTGTGTGACTGAGATTCAAAATATGAAAGTTGCTGGTGTGTTAGGCGGCAGCCTTGAAATTAGAGTTGTTACAGCTAACTAAAACTAAATCTATTGAAAATCAATTAAAATAATATGAATATTAGAACAAAATTGATTAAAACGTAAATTGAACATAAAATAAAAAGCTAATTCAAAATTAATAAATGTTAGAATACAAATAATACTAAAATATCATTCAAAAGTTAAAGATTGTGGTATTGGTATGCTCTCTACAGATGAGTCACTGACTGTACAGTGTGTGTCAGAACTGTATAGCATGTGTATCACATATTTTTCACTGATGTGATAGTTGTTCACACTATGCAAAAATTCCATAACAATAAAATAACATACACGCATATGCAGAGTAGAGGAATAAATATCATAAACCGATTACAATTTTATAAAATAAGAGGTGAACTGCTATCACAAAAACATTATTTTAGTACTATTTGAGCTATGGACCACTAATAAACAGTTCCATGTTATTACGAAGGTTTTCTTGATACATCTTCATACCTTTGAATTAAATGCTATCATTTTAAAGTAATCATTCAGTACCATGAGTATCTGAAAATATGAAAAATGGGACAAATTTGAGCTGCTATAAACTGTTTAAAAATGTGTCTAAAATAATCAAGAACACAAATAAAGGATGTTGAATAAATCCACATTAAAGTATTAAAGAGCTGAGCCTCTGGATACCATCTGATACCATCACTGTCACAGTATGCTCGGACAGATAGAATACACTTCAATTAAATGTAATGAAGTACACCAATCAAACACCTTCTATTAGCATCTCTGAGGAGGACAGACACATCAGGTTCAAACATGTTCAGCTGTGACTTATCCCAGGAGTTTTTCTCTTTTTCATATATTCATCCAAACATCTGATACGCTTTTTCTTCCCAGAAGAAAATGAGAGAGGGGGGAACAGATGGTCCAAGGGCTCACTCCGCTGCCTAGCCGGTCTCTGGCTTTCACACCCAGCCCTTAAACTAAACAGATTGGTATGACAACAGCCAGCACCCAGCAGCAGCCATGGGTACGGCAAGCGTAAGGAGTTCTGCCTCGAAAGCGATTGGGTAACAAGAGGGCAGCGGGATTTCACACTCACTGTCTCTTGAAAGATCTTCGGAGGGCTGCAAGCTAATTGGCTGGCGCGAGTTAAAAGCGAGTGAGTAGGAACACTGTGTACTGACCTTCGTTTCTGGAAGCCACGGCTGTCACCAACATAAAAACTCAATGTGCTCTAATGCCAAAAGGCTGGTCACATGAGACATTTTATTCAAGCAGACTCCAGAGGCTGAGTTCTTTAATACCTTAACGTGCATATGTACCCATATTTCAGTTTATACTGTTAAAAAATAAAGGACACATTTGGGAGAAGTTGGGACACCTCTAAGGAACTGTCTCATCAGAAATGGGACATCTGGTTGCCGTAACTTAATCTCAGCCAATGTTGATGATAAGCCACGCCATTTCATTTCACTGTTATCTTGAAAATGATTAGAAATCTAGATGGGCAGGATAGAGATTTTGTGTAAGGTCACAGGCATGTGAAGAACAGGACCTTTGGCAATTCTTGGAATGTAATCGCTAGATACACGGTTAACACATATTTCTTTAGAAAGGCATGGCTTACTTAGGAGTCCATTTGCTCCTGAATGTTACATAATGTTATGTTCTGATTTTTCATTGTTGCATAACAAACACTGGTTACACTGGGTAATGTGGTTCTCTTACGAGAGGTTCTCTCGTATTGCGTAAGCTAGCTTACGCTACGGGAAAGATTCATCTTTGCTGAGAAGTTGAAGCCAAAAAATTATTCCATAATTTTGTAATCATTGTCAACGCAGTCTCTTCTGAGGCAGACCATGAGCGGGCTAGCTAGCGGCTCATTGGTTCGCTCAGAGAGAATGCACGAACCTATGGGAGAGCGGCGCTGAGTCCGCGGCCAATGAGCGGACGGCGCTCGCTTACTGCGTCACAGCCCGCCAAAAGGGGCGTGGCTACAGTGTATAAAGGTCGCTCTCCCAGCTCGTTCGTTGATTCTTGTTCATTCAGCGAGCTACACGCATCCGCTGTTCTGGGAAGAAGCCGCCGTCGTTGAGAAGGCACCGTCTAGCGAGCTCCGGAGTCTGAGGAAGCCGGCCGTCTGCCACCTTCAGCCGCCCAGCAAGCTAGCGCCATCCGACGCGTATCCTTTCTTATTATTCCTGCTAAAAGAGCACGAGCGTCTTTTTAAAGATGCCTCGTAATTCCTGCGGCTCTTGCCGCTCTCCGCTCGAGGATGGAGACCGCCACCCCATCTGCGCTCTCTGCCTCGGAGTGGAACACGCAGAACTCGCCCTCGCCAACGGAGGATGCGACCACTGCGAGGACCTGCCGCTGTCAACCCTGCGGGCTCGACTACAGGCGGTCAAAACCGCTCCAGCGCCGCCTCTAACTTCGCCGCGGAAGAAGAAACGCCGCTCCCAGAGGCCGCCGGAGCCCTCTGCGGATCCATGTGGGCCGCCGCCGCCGCCCACCGACCGCTCTCCCTCTCCGCCCCTGCCGGACTTACAGTTGCCGCCGAGTGGCCGCTCTGTCGCCTCCGAGGACACCGCGGATGAGAAGGACTCTTGTTCGCTGCACGCTTCGGACAGCGAGGATTGGTCGTCGATCGGCTCATCGACTAGAGAGTCTGCGGGGACCCGCGCCGGCATCGAGGAGGAACTAACGCGCCTCCTTTCTCAGGCCGTTAGCCGCCTGGGTCTCGAGTGGTCTCCTCCCCCTGAGCAACCACCGAACCGCATGGATGGAAAGTTCCTGCACCGGCGCCCGGCCCCCGCTTGCAGCCGGGCTGCACCCTTCCTGCCTGAGCTTCACAGCGAGCTCACGAAGTCCTGGAATGCTCCTCTCTCGGCTCGTAATCGCTCTGATGTGTCCGCTTCGCTGCGCTCAGTGGACGGAGCTGCCGAGAAGGGTTATACTGCCATGCCGCCCGTCGAGGACTCGGTCGCCGCTCATCTCTGCCCGCCCTCTGCTAGATGGCGGTCTGCTCATACGCTTCCCTCAAAAGCGTGCAGAGCGACCTCCAACTTTCATGCCCGCGCCTATTCCGCCGCCGGTCAGGCCGCTTCAGCGCTGCATTCGATGTCTGTCCTCCAGGTGCTCCAGAGCGACATCTTGTGTGAAATGGCGAGCAGCGGGAGGCAACCGCTCGTCCTTTCGGATCTAAGAAGCGCTACGGATCTTTCCCTTCGCGCCACTAAAGCCGCCGCACAAGCTCTAGGGAGATGCATGGCCGCCCTCTGTGTCGCCGAGAGACACTTATGGCTCACGCTGACCGACATGGGAGAGTCAGAACGTGCCGCGTTCCTCAACGCGCCTATTTCCCCCACCGGGCTCTTCGGATCCGCCGTCACGGGCATCGTTGACCGCTTCTCCGAAGTTCAAAAAGCGACTCAGGCCATGAACTTGTTCCTGCCCCGCCGCTCGAGTTCTTCGACGGGCCGTTCTCACGAGCCGCCTGCCAGAACCACACAGCAGCGCCCGCCTCAGCAAGCTCAGCAGCCCCAGCGTAGACAGGGCGGCCGCCCTCGCTCTCGCTCAGACAGCCGCCGCAGACAGCCTCCGCCCCGGGGGCCTCGACCCAAGATCACGCTGAAGCCTGATCAACAGAAGTCTGCCTAGCACAGCTGAGAAAAAGACGGTTTTCTCCCGCTGCGGCCGGACCGCCGTCAAAGCTTCGCCCACTGTTAGTCCCCGTCTCACCGCTGACTACAGTAGTGTTTACCGCCACAAACAAGCCGGTTTCCCTGCCCGCTTGCGAGCGACTAAAAGCCGTTTTCACGGCTACCCAGAGAGTTCACAAAAAGAGCATAAAAGCCTCAAGTGTAAAAAATGTGCCCACAACCATGTGCTCACGTACACACACAAGCACTTTATGCCCAGGGTCTCTCGCAGAGCCCATTCTCACGGAGCGTGCACTTTCCGCTCCAGCAGCAGAGAACATAAGCACGCCCACGAGCCCGTGCGCGTGTCCCCCCTCTGCCCGCTCTGTCTCAAGGCCCTTAAACTCCTCTCTGAGTGTAAGTCCCGTTGCCTTCCACATTATAAGCGAGCCCACA